TTGAAAAACCACATTCTGTAAAGTTTGGCCGACAGGGTTAACTAAATTTGTGAACTGCCCGTATGTTATTTATCTTTACTCCTCTTTTCACATTTTCCCTTTTTTTATGAATTAGTCATTAGTCACACCTACGCAAAATTCCAAGTGGTGCTTTGTAGGAGACCCATTTTGTTTTTATTTTTAGTGCATCTGTTCGTTTAATTTCATTTGTCACGGAGAGTGTGTCCAACCAATTTTTAAACCGCCAATTAATGTTAGCAAAATTGAGTTGGAAGCGATGGTGGCCCCCTGAGGCCATGAAGAAAATCATGCCTTTGTACTATAACATATCTTCATTTTCACTCCCATCACCCAGCATAAAAGTTTGTCTTAGTGGTGGTGAAGGGGCAATGTGTTTAATACAATCTGCAATACTTTTGTCTGAGTAGCTGACATTACCTTTAAACCTTTTGTTTTCATATACAGCTGTATATTTTTTTCCCCGGTATATGCATGCCCTTTTAAACAATAGGACGAAATTCACTTTCCACTAATTAAAACTTAAAGTGATATCAATGGTCCCTTTATTCAATTGCAAGAGGCCACCATCTTTGAATGAATCTGCTTTGTCAATTAATATTTCAAACTTTAAACCCATTACTTTTTTACACTTAGTTATGTAAACAGGTCAAACAAGGCTTTGATCAGCAGGCTTTCTCATCCACCTAAATAAGTCGGTTATTCAACCCACACGATCTACGTCACCGGCTCAGCTGCCATTCAACAATTTGAATTAAGAAACCCACAGTGTTTTAAGGAACTAACTCTTTCAAACAGTTATAAAGGAAGCCAAGGTCTCCCTTTATTAAACATTTATTTCCAAGGCACAATTATATTGTTGACACAGAGGAAAAGCCGTAGATCTAAAAACGATGTGAAGATGAACAAAAAACATGAATGAAATGCACTTTCTCCTTTGGACAAAAACATTAAAAACATTAAAAACATTGTACGAAATATGAAATTGGTCCTGGCCATGAATTAAAGGGTGAGTTAATTAAAAAGTGATGGTTTTCAAAATAATTAGCATTTTTTAAAGTTTCGTTTTTGTTGTTGATTTGTGATTCACTTCACAGCTGATGTGAATCCGTTCTTTGTGAAAACTCCTTTTCTTTGTAAAGAGCCACCTAATGTACGCACTTTGACGTCGTACTAAATGGGTCCAACCAAATGATTTTGCTTAGTAAGTTTTCAACAGTTGCCTTAACCGTACGGGTACTATAAATTTTGTCAATCAAATCTCTTTTATAAGCCTTCGTGGAAGGGATAGCTGGAGAGAAAATTGATAAATATTTGAAATCAGGGTGAAATTGAAACCTTCATGTTATTATTATCATTATTTTTTATTTCCCAACTCTATTTAATGTCAAATGGTCGTGGTTTAATGACTCTTTATTCAGTTGTCGGTTTCGAATTGACTTCATCTTTTCCGTCAGTTATAAAAGACTCTGTTTGTTATACATAGTCTTACAGCAGGTGAGTCATCTATCGACAGTAATTTTAGCACTACCATAAAGCAGCATAACTCTGCTTCTTCAGCGTCTAAAAATCAACTTGCAACCATTCCTTCAATTCTTTTCCTTAGACTCCCATGACCAAAAGCAACTTTTAAAGATGTGTGCTTCAAGAGCACTCTCCATCCTCCTTATATTGGAGATATTTAACAAAGCCATAACTCAACAGTGCCTCAGTGGTGGGAAACAAGAATCCATCTTTGGCTGGATGTTAAGAGGACACATTTATAAAAGTACGACCCTAAACCACGGCCATGAATGTCTAAAAGTTTGTCGTCAAGACAACAGATGCCAAAGTTTCAACTGGGTGATCTCTACCAACATGTGTGAATTCAGTGACAGAACTAAAGAAGCCAGGCCCGTGGATTTCGTCCCTGACCCAGACAGATATTATTACAGACGAGGCGTGAATCGAGGTAATTAGTCGGGGCTGGCCTGCGAGTAAGCTCACCTGTTTGAGTTCGGGGTAAATCACTTGTGCGCTCATCCTGGCCGGTAATTTTCATCTTCCTCCGCAGTGCACAAGTAAACCTGCTCTTATACTTATCATTTTATCATTTTATCATTTTTAAGTTTTTGCGCCGCGAATTTTCATCCTGGGGGTGACTTAAAATTAGGTTCTTGTGTGATTGTGTACAACATTCAGCCTTTCAAATTTAGACGGAACGGACAGATACTCTGCAAACATCTGTTTTAGGCTTGCTTTGCCAGAAGAATTCTAACGGGGGCGGGGGAGGGAGGTTACTAAGGCGAGGTTTATGTGGGTATATGTCAATAAGTCCTCCAATTTAAAAGAAGGGCCGGCACATTGACTAGTTTATATTCATCGATCCAATACCCAATACCCTAACCCTACACTGTAAAGTTTTTAAAGCTAAAAGTTATTGTTATCATCATCGTCATCATTATCATTGTCATTTCGTAGCTAACTGGCTATTTCTCATTAGTTCTGCACATCAACTGAAGTTATCTATTTACCGTATTTATTCGAATAAGCGCCCAACCTCGAATAAGTGCAAACCTCGAATAAGCGCCCACCCCCTCCTCCTCCCAATCAAACTCAAATAAGCGCTCACCCCCACCCCACCCACTTGAGTGAATAAATTCTGATAAGAGACTTCCCCGAGGACGGAGTTTCCTTCAGAGTATTTTACAGAAACCTTGCTTTGTTACTTATTCGCGTTTTGTTATTAGCATTTATTGTTTTGTTGCAAAATATACATACTTTACTTGCTGAAAATGGTGAAAATTTAATAAGCGCCCAGCCTCGAATAAGCGCCCACCTCGAATAAGCGCCCACTCTCAAGATCCAAAAATTTAATAAGCGCCCAGGGCGGTTAATCGAATAAATACGGTACTTGAATTTTCACTTATTCAGTTCTTGTTCCGCACATCAACTAACATTACTGAGTATTTACTTATTCATGAAATATTTGTTTCGAAGAAACAGCGCGTGACTGCCCCCAGGCTCCTGCATGGCCTGAGGTAGACTGCAAAACAGTCGTTTTATTATTATTATTATTTCTTTCCTTCTCAAAATCGATTTGGTGTGGCGTAAGAGTAGCGTAAGAGCCTCAAGCGCGCCTCACACGCCCCGGAGCGTATTTTTAGCGTCACTTCCCAGCTCCAGACCTTTTGTTTGACTGTTCGCGCGTACTTGAATAACCAAAAATACGGACTTATTTGTAGCCCAGGCCTGGGGAAGCAGGCGACATTTCGCGATGTTAACATTAGCGTGAGTATCCCCGCGAATGACGGCTGAGGAACAAGCACAAAAATTCCATACTCGTGACGTATCACTATAGACTATCCAGATCTGGCAGTGCATTTGATTGGTCGCGCCGCGCGGGAAATTTGTTTCAACGAATCGAACGCGCTACCCAGATCTGGAAAGTGACGTATCGTCAATACAGTAAAAACCCGCGTACAAGAACAAATGGATTAAGAACACCCAGGCTGAAATTTGGTAAAAAAGGAGCATATATATAAGAACACATTCAGCCTGAAAATTGAAAATTGTTCTTATATATAAAAACTCTTCCCTTTTCAGTTTAATAGAACAGTGTCTGTAGCTTTACTGTGGTATTGCACTAAGATCTCTGTATAAATGCTAGTAATTTCACTTGCTGTGTATAGCAAATGTACAACAACTTACATTTTTTTAGAAGTAAAAAATTAAGAACACTTAAGAACACTTTCAGGCTGATTTCACCTAAAACACCCGATATATAAGAACCCAATCAGCCTGAACCCCGAAAATGGGTGATCTTGTATGCGGGTTTTTACTGTATGCCGGAATTTCTGCGCTTGTTCCTCAGACTTCATTCGCAGTGAAACCAGTGGACAGTGGGGTCGCGAAATGTCGACTGCTTTCTCAGGCTACTGATTTCCGAGAATGAATATGTCTGTCAGATGATGGTTTCAATAATAATAATAAAACAAACAAACAAACAAGAAACATAAATAAAAAATATTTAAAGTTACAGGTACGTGATGATCAAATCAATTCGGGTTCATGACATTAAGATAATAACAGGATAGCGGAAATTATGGGTTTTATATTTGTCCTGAGCTAATCTTAGTCCGATTATGGTTACACATTCTATTAAACTAAATAAACATTAATGTCCCCAGAACTTCCTTCATGCGAGGCAATAAAAAGAAGCGATCCCAAAGCGAGTGACGGAAGCTACACGATATTTTCATCGTCCTCCGCTATTCCGGTAAGGTCTTAAAAGCGTCATGTGTCAATCTGGTATCCGGCATCCCATTGTAGTTAAAACATGTACAAAACAACAACAACATTTAATGTAACCTCTTGAATTGATTCAGCATGAACACGGAACAAGGACAGCGGTCGTCCCATGTAAGGTAATCCAGATTCCGGAATCTAAGAAATTTTCGCTTGTAAAATCAGGAATCCTGGGATTAGGAATCTGGAATTCAGCTCAAAGAAATCCAGTATCCCGCTAATGTTTAGAATCTGGAATCCAAGTACCACTGATGAATAGTCCGGAATCCTGTACCTGGAATTGAATCCGCGGCGTGCACTCCGGCGTGCACTCTACAAAGCAAGACTGTCTTGGATTACCTTACATGGCGTGACAGAAGGCTCGAACGCCTCCGCCTTAACGATCGTCAATTAAGAGAGGAATTAAGGGCTTTGAAAAAAGAGTTATAATACCAGATATCACAGAGGCTGTCTGCTGTTTCTCTTGTCACCAACTTTAAATCGGCATTCTTTTCAAAAATTATTGAGAACAACACCCATACTAAGCCTGTACATAACGTTAACATAACGTTAGCGGGGATCTTTTTTCTTGAAAACTGTGGCGAAGCTCCCCTCTTCATCTATGCGCATGATTTAGATAACAAAATATAATGACACTATTTAAAAGTCGAAATAAGAGTAATTTGTAGGACTTATCTCGCGTGGTGCAAGTATCGCTGGACTCAAGAACGCAAGGGAGTTGTTCGTCCTGTTTTTCTGCTACAAGTGTTTTTTTTTTTATTTATTTATTTTTTTTTTGTAGGTTTATTGCGATATGACTTCTGATCAAGGATGGACTCTGATCGCTCGGTTCTCAAATAATGATGCCTTAAATTGGATGAAAGACAGTGCACTATGGTGGTATGACAAGGATATTGCTTCTGGGGAAACAACTGATCCATCAAACAATGCTGACATGATTTCTCCAGCGTTCTGGCTTGTCGGCGGAACTGAGTTTAAGATCACGCGCAGTGATGACCCTCAGCACACTGCCCTTCTGAAAACCATAGGTCTCTGCCTAAGTGGAGAGACGTTTAGGTCGAAAATCACAAACTATGGTGACTTCAGAAACGGCAAGGTTTGGTCCAAACATAAATGTTTGGGACGATGTTGTGTCCATTATGGGGGCCAGTACCAAACAACCGAAGGCTTTAAAGAAGCTGCTTGCAACGGGGAAATGCAAAATGCCAGTTCGATTGGCTTTTGGTGTCACTGGGGTGCTGGAGACGGATCGGTGATGATGATTGGTGGAGGAGGCTCCAGCTGTAACAGAGCTGATCACGGTATTGGAATAACTGAAGCTAATTCTCCTTCACTGGCGACTTTGAACTCACCCAAAAAAGATTTTGGCAGTGAGGCTAATTACAATTCAATTAAGACGTATTCTTTGAACTTGTGGGTAAAGTAATTCATGAAAGATCCTGTTTTTTTTTTCAAGAATGTTATTTCAAGGTGGCCACATGTAAGGGAATCCAAGACAGTCTTGGATTCTGGATTCCACACCGTGGACTCCGGATTCCCAGGTACTGGATTCCAGTCTTTGGCAGTGGAACTTGGATTCTGGATTGCAGTCGTTTATTAAAATGGGGGTACTTTGATAACACTAAACACTTAATTGTTTGGCACTGCAACATAAAACAGTTAAATTTTAGTCATTTTAGCTCTAACAGTAAAAAAATTCTCTGCAACAGTAAATTTTATCCATAAGGAAACAAAAATGGTTCCAAAAAGGTCATGTTATTTATTCATTATATCAAGAAGTTTTAGGCCATTTTCCAACCATTCTCGATTATTTCGCAAGATTTCCGAAGATTCCCGAAGTCTACCGAAGATGTCCGAAGACTGTCGAAGTTTTCCAAGGAGAAATCCGACGATTTTCGACTATATTTCAGTTGTAATATCATAGGTCATGTTTTTGATTTTAGGACAGAAGAACAACATAATTGTGGATATCTAGTTTAGTCCCTCACCCCTTCGCCTAAACTAAAGACAACTTACAACAACAACAGCAACAGCACCAACAATAACAACAATAGACCTTAGCTTGTTTTCCGATATTTTTTAACTTTTCTATGCTAATGCATTTTATGTTCTTCTACTGGGTTCGTGTATATCTCGCATACCTACCGCCCCTATGATGTTCGACGCGATTACTACTATATAGAGGGGGACTCAATGTGGCTTTTAAAAAGGTTATTTTTTACCGTCAACTTTCAAAAATGCAGATTGATATAAGCCGTCAAAAAGTTTCAAGACACTTCAATCTTGCTTTTTTTAGTTTTTAGTATTTCAGCTGATCGTCAGGGACCTTTGGATCCTGAAAAATCTAGCTCCAAAATGGAAAACCAGTTCTTATGTTCTTAAAAACATTCCTTCTAGACATTACAAGACCTTAGAACTTGCTTATATCTGAAATTATTTTGAAATTTTATAGGTCAAAGGCCAAGTCAACCTCCAAAACAAAATAGCTAAAAAAAGCATAATACAGAAAATAACATTTACTAAAACTCTTGGACTAAATTCCCACTTATTCATTCATTTGAATAAATGAACCGGCAAATGCATGTCCAAATCGGAGAAAATTAAACGTCAACCCTCAAAGCTACCACTGCCCCACTTAGACCATGATTCTGCTAGCTTCAATTAAATAATTAACTACTTCAGCATCAAATTCCCGGAATTTGTTTCTTATTTTTACTTTAGATTTCACGTCTGTTGAACGATCACCTTTACCAGTAAGCGGACGTGGTAACCCTGTTTACCCGTGGCTACCCTGCGCTTCGCACTCGTTTCGCGCTTTGCGCAAAATGCCGCGTTCGCCTCGCTTCGCTTGTAAAGTGCCTGTTATGCAGGCTAAAAATGCGTAGGGACTTTAAGCTACTTTAAGTCGGGACTAAAGGCTTAGGGCGAATATGGATTGGTAATCACGTGCTGGAGTAACAGAAGGTTGCAAATATATGTTATTGTACAAAGTATACGTAAGTTAAATTAGCTGAATTAGTTGTGCATTTTTAAGGTTACTGTGTAATCTAAGTAGAAATTCTAGAAATGTTTCCATTTGTATGTCACCGAAAGAAATTATGAAATAAATCAACTAGAAAAATAAAGTACGGTAACCCTGGCCCTGCCTTGCCCCAGTCTCTTACGATCGGCTCATCACTTGAGAGAATAGATGAA